GGTAGGCTCTGTTATGAACTGCTTCAGAAAACAGTCCTGAACTGTTTCCATAAAGTCACTGGACTCTAGATTACCTGTCAAAGAATTCCAGTCAATTTGACTAAAGTTAAAGTCCCCTACTATGACTATGTTATTGTGTGTAGAAGCCCTAACAATTTCGTCCCAAAGAAGTCTCCCTCTATCGTGATCCAAGCCTGGAGGTCGGTATATTACACCTAGAATTAGTTTTTCTTGACCCTCTACAAACTCTACCCAAACAGATTCTGTTGCTGTTCCACCTATTTTTATACCTGTTTTTATGCAACAATTAATATTTTCTCGAACATATAATGCAACTCCTCCCCCCCTTCCCATCACATCTATCCACATGGAAGAGCTTAAACCCTTGAATATTACACTCAGCAATCATATATCGACTCTTTAAATCATACCAGGTTTTAGTTAATGCAATGACATCCAAGTTCCCAGCACATGCTACCAAACGTAGTTCATTAATCTTATTAATCTTCAGGAGGATTTAGACAAACTGAGTTCTTGGTCAGAAAAGTGGCAGATGCAGTTCAATGTAGATAAATGCAGGGTTCTGTAGCTCGGGAGTGTCCATAACCCTAGCACTTATAAGTTAAATAATGTAGAACTTAGCCATACAGATTGCGAAAAGGACTCGGAGGTTATGGTAAGCAGTAACCTTAAACCAAGACAGCAATGTCTAAGCATACGTAATAAGGCAAATAGATTATTGGGATTTATATCAAGAAGTGTAAGCAACAGAGGTCCAGAGGTTATACTGCAGCTTTACACATCTTTAGTAAGGCCTCGCCTAGATTATGCAGCTCAATTCTGGTCTCCATATTACAGAATGGATATAAATTTGTTAGAAAACATTCAGTGAAGAATGACTAAATTAATACATAGGATTAGAAATCTTCCGTATGAAGAGCGATTGAAGACCCTTAAACTACATTCACTTGTAAGATGAAGAATGAGGGGAGACATGATCGAAGTGTATAAGTGGAAGATGGGTATTAACAAAGGGGATATAAATAAAGTCTTGAGGATATATCTCCAAGAGAGAACCCGCAATAATGGATTCAAATTAGGTAAGTTAAGATTTCGAAAGGATATAGGAAAGTATTGGTTTGGAAATAGGGTAGTTGATGAGTGGAACAGTCTTCCTAGTAGGATTATACATATATAAGCTAAAACGTTGGGAAGTTTCAAATTTAGGTTGGATAAATACAAGAGTGAAAGCAGTTGGATTTGAGTAGGATTTGCATAATGAATAAATAGAATCATCAAAACTTATTTCTTGGGTAGCATTGCAAACTGGGTTGGGCAAATATTTTGTTAGTGGGAAGGATTGTAAAGGACCTGCCTAGTATGGGCCAACAGGCCTACTACAGTGTTCCTCCTTTATGTTCTTATGAATACAAGTTATGGACTTGCTGCCTTCATGCTAGGTAATTATTATTTCCAAAGTAATTGATGCTTCACCATTTTAAAGTCTAAATATCGTAAGTAGAACCATCATAAGTCGAGGAGCACCTTTGTTATTTAGAACTTGCCAATGTACTTATACAGTAAGTCCTTGAATTAAACACATTGAGAATCTTATGTATTGTGTATATCATTATTGTGTATAACATAATTATACACAATACAGGAGGTGCACAATGTGTTGATAAGTTGAAGACTTCCTGTATTATGAATATTAAACACAAATCATAAGGTCCACAATTTGTTTTTAAGTCGAGGATTTACTAAATATGAACACGAGAATAAAACTCTCTAATTTTCGCTGCATTATGGTTTCAGGACGTTGACGTGTGTGATGACACAAACACGTACATTGATGATGACTTGATTGAGGTGAAAGATGGTAAGTTTTATTACATTTTAAATACTGTAGAGTAATAAATTATAGTAAGTTTCATTAACTTCTTAAATTTAGTAATATATCAGTATACAAAATAACCGTTGTGAAAAAATAGTGAACTTAAAAGTACTAGCATGATTTCTCACATTATCAAGAACTTTAAAGAACAGAAAGGTACAATGACTGGAACAATATATAAATAACCCGCAAGTAGGAGAGAGGAGCTTACGACGACATTTTGGTCCAGCTTGTTCCGTATATTTACAAAGTCATGTTGAAACATCATCGTGGGCTCCTTTGTACCATGTGCGGGTTTTTTGTCTATCAGAGACCTGTAAAAATAATAAAACAGTAGAAGATCGTATATTAGGTGATAGCCTTATAAGCCTTCTATTGTTCTGTTGTTTTTACACGTCCTTAATAATGTGAGAAATCACAAAAGCGCTCGGAAGTTTACTTTTTGTCACAGTGGTCATTTTGTATATTGTGATATTACTTGTTTACTGTTTTTACTCACCATCACTACAGTGCTACTCACCATCACTACAGTGCTACTCACCATCACTACACTGCTACTCACCATCACTACAGTGCTACTCACCATCACTACAGTGCTACTCACCATCACTACAGTGCTACTCACCATCACTACACTGCTACTCACCATCACTACACTGCTACTCACCATCACTACAGTGCTACTCACCATCACTACAGTGCTACTCACCATCACTACAGTGCTACTCACCATCACTACAGTGCTACTCACCATCACTACAGTGCTACTCACCATAACTACAGTGCTACTCACCATCACTACAGTGCTACTCACCATAACTACAGTGCTACTCACCATAACTACAGTGCAAACCCTCACTATCACATCACTACAGTGCTACTCACCATCACTACAGTGCTACTCACCATCACTACACTCCTACACTTACCATCACTGCACTGCTACACTTACCATCGCTACACTTACCATCACTGCACTGCTACACTTACCATCACTGCACTGCTACACTTACCATCACTGCACTGCTACACTTATCACTACATTGCTACACTTACCATCACTACACTGCTGCACTTACCATCACTACACTGCTACACTTACCATCACTACACTGCTACACTATCATTACACTGCTACACTTACCATCACTACACTGCTACACTTACCATCACTACACTGCTACACTTACCATCACTACACTGCTACACTCACTATCACTACACTGCTACACTATCACTACACTGCTACACTCACCTTCACTACACTGCTACACTCACCTTCACTACACTGCTACACTCACCATCACTACACTACTACACTCACTATCACTGCACTGCTACACTCAACATCACTACCCTGCTACATTCACCATCACTACACTGCTACTCACTATCACTACACACTATACTACACTCACCATCATAAGACACTATAATACAACTCAATGTTAAAATATTTAAAATATTAAATTTTGATTCTCTTCTATGTAAATAAATTCTATGTACACTTTCAATTATAAACTGAAAATTCGAAGGTCACTATTTTTCATAATGTTGATATATTTAGTAAAATGGGGCATTTATTATATTAATATATTATTGAAATAGTTAAGCTTAAGTTTGAAAATCAAATTATAATTAAATAATCAAATAAAGAACTAAACAGTAAGCTTAAGAATCGTCAAAATGTTTTGCAAAATGGCACTGAAAACATGCTGCCTGTGGTTGCTAGCAATGGGAATCATTCTGGAAATAGTGGGTTGCTATTATCAGCTTTTCGATCCATGGGTTCGTGATTTAGAAAAGGAGAGAGACGACCTCAGAAGAGAGGTTGACCAAGCTACCGATGCTTGCCAGCCAGTGTTCTATTGGTTCTCCATCTCGACTGTAGTTGATGTGTGGGGATATGTGAGCGACACCCCAGTACAAGAGACAAGTACCGACAGTGACCTTCAGTTTGATCCAAGGTGGCTGCCTGTCATTGGTCGCGTCATCACTGCTTATGAATGTTACGTGGAAGTCCAAAATCTTAAAACACTTCTTCTTGAGGTGACATCACGCTGTCATGAGTGTTCCTCTACTCCCTTCACAATGACTGTGTTGTGTGTCCTCATGTCAATTGCAGTGAGTGCCATGGGACTGATCGCACCAGTCAAACTCTGGAGGAGACGAACCGGCAATACACTGAAGATGGCTATGGTAAGAAAGCCAAAAACAAGCAAACATAAGAGACGTCGCAGACAAAATTCATCGGAGAAAACTGACCAGGACCAGACAGGGTTAAATGGCAAGAAAAAGAAGAGCAAAAAGAGGAAAATTCAAGAGATAGAAACAATTGATGATGTTGACCTAGCCTACAGGTTAACTGCTCTCCGAGGTGCCAGTAACCGAAAAGGTATATACAAAATAACTGACCCTAAGAAGGCAGAGATGAATAAAAAGACTGCGAACAAGGCCAAGGTGAAAAGCCTCACCAATGGTAAAAACAAAAGACACAAGAGTGTTGGTGTGTGAGTTAAATATTTATTTAATGAAGAAGGAAATATTTTTGTTTATTGAATAATGATTTAGGAGTTTTATTTATTAGTTCCTTTGTTTACCATAAGATTTTTTTTTGTTGAGATTATGTTCTTGCAGAGTTATATATATTACTTGTTCTCAGTAACATACTCATATTATTTAAATCCTGCTACACTCACTATCACTACACTGCACACTCACCATCAGTACACTGCTACACTCACCTTCACTACACTGCTACACTCACCATCACTACACTGCTACACTCACCTTCACTACACTGCTACCCCTCACCATCAGTAACTGCTACACTCACCTTCACTACACTGCTACACTCACCATCAGTACACTGCTACACTCACCTTCACTACACTGCTACACTCACCATCAGTACACTGCTACACTCACCTTCACTACACTGCTACACTCACCATCAGTACACTGCTACACTCACCATCAGTACACTGCTACACTCACCATCAGTACACTGCTACACTCACCATCAGTACACTGCTACACTCACCATCAGTACACTGCTACACTCACCATCAGTACACTGCTACACTCACCATCACTACCCTGCTACACTCACCATCACTACACTGCTACACTCACCATCACTACCCTGCTACACTCACCATCACTACACACCTACACTATCACTACACACTATACTACACTCACCATCATAAGACACTATAATACAACTCACTGTTAAAATATTAAATTTTGATTCTCTTCTATGTAAATAAATTCTATGTACACTTTCAATTATAAACTGAAAATTCGAAGGTCACTATTTTTTCATAATGTTGATATATTTAGTAAAATGGGGCATCATTTATTATATTAATATATTATTGAAATAGTTAAGCTTAAGTTTGAAAATCAAATTATAATCAAATAATCAAATAAAGAACTAAACAGTAAGCATAAGAATCGTCAAAATGTTTTGCAAAATGGCACTGAAAACCTGCTGCTTGTGGATGCTAGCAATGGGAATCATTCTGGAAATAGTGGGTTGCTATTATCAGCTTTTCGATCCATGGGTTCGTGATTTAGAAAAGGAGAGAGACGACCTCAGAAGAGAGGTTGACCAAGCTACCGATGCTTGCCAGCCAGTGTTCTATTGGTTCTCCATCTCGACTGTAGTTGATGTGTGGGGATATGTGAGCGACACCCCAGTACAAGAGACAAGTACCGACAGTGACCTTCAGTTTGATCCAAGGTGGCTGCCTGTCATTGGTCGCGTCATCACCGCTTATGAATGTTACGTGGAAGTCCAAAATCTTAAAACACTTCTTCTTGAGGTGACATCACGCTGTCATGAGTGTTCCTCTACTCCCTTCACAATGACTGTGTTGTGTGTCCTCATGTCAATTGCAGTGAGTGCCATGGGACTGATCGCACCAGTCAAACTCTGGAGGAGACGAACCGGCGATATACTGAAGATGGCTATGGTAAGAAAGCCAAAAACAAGCAAACATAAGAGACGTCGCAGACAAAATTCATCGGAGAAAACTGACCAGGACCAGACAGGGTTAAATGGCAAGCAAAAGAAGAGCAAAAAGAGGAAAATTCAAGAGATAGAAACAATTGATGATGTTGACCTAGCCTACAGGTTAACTGCCCTCCGAGGTGCCAGTAACCGAAAAGGTATATACAAAATAACTGACCCTAAGAAGGCGGAGATGAATAAAATGACTGCGAACAAGGCCAAGGTGAAAAGCCTCACCAATGGTAAAAACAAAAGACACAAGAGTGTTGGTGTGTGAGTTAAATATTTATTTAATGAAGAAGGAAATATTTTTGTTTATTGAATAATGATTTAGGAGTTTTATTTATTAGTTCCTTTGTTTACATTAAGATTTTTTTTGTTATGTTCTTGCAGAGTTATATATATTACTTGTTCTCAGTAACATACTCATATTATTTAAATCCTGCTACACTATCACTACACTGCTACACTCACCATCAGTACACTGCTACACTCACCTTCATTACACTGCTACACTGTCACTATACTGCTACACTCACCATTACTATGCTCCTACTCTCAATATCACTACACTGCTACACTCACTATCACTATTGTGGAAAATTGCATTTATCTGAATGTAACTCATTATGTACATAACAGAAAATGATAACAAAGATAATTATTATTTATCAATGTTACATAGACAAGTAGGAATTTGGGACACCTAGGTCGCAAAAAATGTCCCCCTTCGATACCTACCACTGTCATAACCTCAAGTTGCTCTGGACCTATTAATTAAATGAAATATACATACACCAGGAATACTGGTAAATATATAAATTTGTGGACTGTATATTAAAAATAATAAATGGTTATATATATACACAATTACATAACAGAAGGAAAATATATCTTAATATCACTCACCAATTTGACTGGAGATTAATGTGTATCATTCTCAGAAAACCTCACTCTAAATCTATGA